GCACATCGTGACATTTCTGTATGTGATAGTCCTGAAAAGGGTCCTCCACAACAACACATTTGGGAAAGGTCTTGGCTCTTAGGACCTCCCATCTCTCAGTTAACCATTCCTGATCTTAAGCTTCTTTGACTCTTGGTATTCATGCTTTTTACTTTGGGGAATATGAGCTTCACTTGACTGATAGTTGGATGTTTAGAAGATTTATTTCTCCTTCGTCACATGGATGAGAAGACACAATCCCAAGAAAAAGAAGATCAGATACACAGTAACCTTAATGTGTAAAATCTTTGAGTAGTTCTCCCAAAATAGGAAAAGAGTGTATGCAGTCAGGGAAGTACAGATGTCAGTCAGAAACAATAAGGGATTAAAGAGGGAAAAACCATTTTAATTTTTTATGTATTCATGTATTTTGCACAGTGTCTCACTACATAGCTCAGACTCTTAATGATTCTCCTGTCTCAGCCTTCTGAGCACTGGGATTACAGCACTGCACCCCCATGCCCTTTTTCTGAGACAGGCGTTGGGAGCCCGGGGATCTGGTTCAGAAGGGGCTGCCATACCGGAGATGGAACCAGGACTTGTGCTTTTGAGGAGGGACTTAGATGACTGAGTTATCCTCCCAATCTGAGAAAAATTTTAAAAAATAAATACAATCCACATAGAGTAGGAATAGACTAATTTTTAAAAAGAAACAAGCTGAACCTCTAAAAGTAACTTTGTAAAAAATACAACAAAGGTTAATTTTCTTCAACAAGTTCTAAAGTGAAGAGCAGATTCACCTTATAAAAGAAGAAAGGAAAAGCACAAATCAAAACTATACTTTCAAGGAGCTAAGAGACAGTAAACAAATCATCAGTTTAATGTTAAATGCCAAACAAGGAACCAAACATTGTTTATCTGATAAGAGGACCTACTTCTGTCACTCTAATGTAAGGTGACTGACTTGTGACTTCAACTGTTTTCTTTCTCCTTTGGGGCACTGAGAAGCATGGTCCTCCATTTCTCAAGGAAGATACACATTTGGAAGGCCAAAATTTGTATATTATGAGGTAATATAAGAGCAGCAAGCATAAGACGGCAAATTCATATCATCATCTAGGAAATTTCTCATTTTCTCCCAAGGTTACAGGAAAATTGTATGTGACACAGCTACTCACTTCAGGAAAAAAACAAATTTTAACAAATCTTAATCCTTAAGCATATTGTCCTTCAATTTCAATGGAACATGCCCAGAAAGCTGCAGCCTCATGAGCACAGTGACTCTCGGGGTGGCAGTATCGACAGTCCCTGCCTCAGTGCCTCTGCACCTTCTGTCTCCCACTCTCTGTTCCTGGCTGCCATGCATCGAGCAGTTTTCTCCTCTAAGGTCCTGTGCAGTTTTGGATTTGCCCAGAGCCAGTCACCTGTAACTCAGTTCTCTGAACTGTGACAAAAACTAAATCTCTCCTCCATAAGCTGTGCCTATCAGGGATCTTCTTTAAGCCTCAGGAGCATGAATAGAACACCACTTCTATATGCATATGGAACTGAAAGTCATAGTCACAAACACTAGACTACAAAAGAAGTAGGAGGCCTTTATAGCAGAAACAAGTACATTTTCTTCTGTTTGCAGATAACATGTTCTTATACATAGAAAACCCTAGTACTATACTGAGAAAGAAAACTAGTAAACATTGTTAGTAAAATTGCAGGATACAAAATCAACATACAGAAACTAGTTATATTTGTAAATACTAACTATGTTCCATCCAAGAAGCATTAAACAGAATCCCACTTGGAACAGCATGGAAAGAAAAATATTCTTTGCAATAAATTTAAAGAACAATGTAAAATATCTGCACATTAAAAAGAGCAGCATCCAAATGAATAAATACCTGACCATATTCACAATCAGAAGACTCAGTGCCATCATAGTATCCATGCAAGCCCAGACAATGCGCAGGTTCAGTGCAACTTCTTACCATCCCAATAGCATTTTCTGCATGGAAGCAGGAAAGTTGCAAAATTTGCATGGAAGCACTGAAGACTTGAAGTAATTAAAGGAATCTTGAGCAAGGATAAAGACTGAGGTCTAACACTCATGAATTTCAATTATATTACAAAGCTTCAGCTATGAAAACAGTATCTTGCTGCCATAAAGATATATACCCACCAATGGAATGCAATAGCTATCCCAGAAGAAACCCTGCTCTCAGAACCAACTAATGCTTGGGAAAAGCACAAATTATACACAATGGGAGAAACCAGCTATTTAATAATTGGCATTGGTTACACTGGGTAAAGGCACACTAGAACTAAAAACCAAGGAGATCTTGACCTTATATCATCCACTAAATTCAACCCAGATGAATTGAAATATTAAACAGAAGACACCAACCCATAGGACACTGGAAAAAAACCAGTGTGAACACTCCCTCCCTCTGTGGTTGAGATCATTTTTCGGGAATGACACCGGAAGCTTGGGCAGCTAAATCAAAGAAAGTACAGAGCACTGCATCCAATTAAAAAAATTCTGCACTGCTAAGATTTTGCACTGCGTAGGAAACAACTGATTGTGAAGTCAGCTGTCAAAATGAGAGAAAAAGCACCTGCAAATCTTCTCATCCATAGGATTCATATTCAGAATACAAGAATCAAAGTCAGTAAACCTAGAAAACCCTATAAAATTTGCAGATGAAGACAAACAAGTAAAGCCTATGGATTAATTAAAAATGTTGAATGGACTGGGGATACTAAGGCAGGAAGATTCTATGACTCTGAAGCCATCCTGGGCTACATATTTTCTTCAAGGTTAGCCTGATCTCCATGAACTGACTCAGTCTCAAGTAAAACAAAACAAACAAAATAAAAGTTAAAGGGTCTGGAACGTTTGCCTCCAGGGCAGGGTCTTCACTGAGTTCCTCTTGCTCTGAGGGTTGCTTTGCAAGGACATGAGAGGGAAGGAGGCCTCCAACACTTTCTATCACAGTTGGCCTCAGCTCGATATCCTCCAACTAGAAAATACTGGGGAACAAGGACACACCTGTCTCCTACTGTCTACTCCTACCACCTCTCCCTCTTCTACACTCTAGCTCCTCTTTTGGCCAGCACTCAGAGCCTACACTGTAACTCGAGGAGCAGGAGTGGCCACCTATGACCCAGGACAACAGATAACTAAGAGCCAGGAAGAGCTGCGGGAATCCTGCTCTCCAACCTCAGTGTAGTCTCCTGCACCTGCAGAGCAGGTCTCCTGGGCCATCAGTACCTTCAGCAGCTATGTTACTCCACCACAGCATCCAGGCCTGGTCTAAAAGCCTCACCATGAGCTGCTCTAGAAGCTAAAGAAGAGCCTGCAAAGGCGAAGATGAGGAGCTGTGTGAGGTGAGGAGAAGGATGCATAGAAAGCTGAAGGAGGACAAGCACCTCTATCAGGCCAGGACTGACCCAGTCTCAAGAAAATTTAAAAATTAAAGAGTAAAGGGTTTGGCGCACTTCCATACAGGGTGGTGTCTTCCCTGCCATCCTCTTTCTGTAGGGATGGTGATGCAGGGACAGGTGTGGGAAGGAGGCCTCAAGCACTTCCTTCTGGGGTTGGCCTGACTCTGAGATCCTCCAACCAGAAAACACACAGGATGTAGGACACGCCTCTCACTGCCTGGCTCCCGCCCTCTCCTCCACCCACCTCTAACTTTTATATCCCTTGCCTCCTCTTGTGGCCAGCGCTCAAAGCCCACACTGAAATCCAGAGGGCCATGAGTGGCCACTGGTAACCAGGTTCCAGAGGAAGAAGAGCAGGGGAAGAGCCACACGAATCCTGCTCTACTACCAGTGCAGTCTCCTGGCCCTGCAGCATGGCCTCCTGGGTCTGAAGCGTGGTCTTCTGGGACTGAAGTGCAGTCTCCTGGGCCTGCAGTGCCTTCAGCATCTCGGGTTCCACACCACAGCCTCTAGGACTGCTCTATCAGCCTCGCCATGAGCTGCTTTCGATTCTACAGGAGAGACCCCCAGAACAAGGATGAGGAGCTGGGTGAGGCGATAAGAATGACACACCGACAGCTGAAGGATGACAAGCACCTGAATGGACCCACGCACCGCCTGCTTCTTCTGGGGCCCGTGGGATCTGGCAAAAGCACCCTTTTCAAGCAGGTGAAGATGCTGCCTGGGTCTTGGTTTAATGGAGCTAGTCAGCGGACCTCTGAAGTGCAGAAGGTCAGAAACTCCCTGAAGGAAGCAATTGAAAATGTCCTGGTGGCCATGAGCACCCTGCATCCACACGCAGAACTGGCCAACCCTAAGAACCAGTTCAGCATAGACTACATCCTGGGTACCAGGAACCAGCACAACTTCAGTTTCCCACCCGAGTTCTTTGAGCATGCCAAGGCACTCTGGGATGACGAGGGCATGTGCTCCTGCTGTGACCGCTGTATGCAGGCTGGACTCTTGGACCATTCCTGCTACTTTCTGGACAAAATCAACACCATCAGGAAGCCCAACTACAAGCCCAAACCCAAGGATATCTTTCACTGCCACCTCCACATCCCCAGAATCTTTGATGCCAAGTTCCAAATGGATGAAGTCAACTTCCACATGTTGTACCCCAACGGGCTGTGCTACATCAATGGGGTATGGGCCGAGATTCTCAAAAACTTCAGTGCCATCATCTTCATGGTAGATAGCAGCAGCTATGACCAGAATTTCATGGGAACCAACAGACTGCAGGAGGCTCTCAACATTTTCAGGTCCCTCTGGTGCAGATGTCCCCACCCCTCCCTTGTGTTTCTCTTCTTCAACAAGCAAGATCTGCTGGCTGAGAAGGTGCTCTCTGGGACATCCAAGTTCGAGGACCACTTTCCAGAATTTGCTCACTACACTACTCCTGATGGTGTTGTTCCTGAGCCCGGAGAGGACCCCTGTGTGATCCGGGCCAAGTACTTCATCCATGACAAGTTTCTGAGTGTCACCAGTGCTGGTGGCAATGAGGATAGCCACTGCTATCCTCAGTTCACCTGTGCTATGGACCATAGTAACATCCAGTGGGTGTTCAGTGAGTGCACCCAGCTGGTCCTGCGCTCAGTGAAGGAAAGAGATGCTCCTAGGAGGGAACCGAGCTTTAAGTAAAGCCTAACCTCAGTCAGTTTTGTAAAATTCAGGGTCCCTGGTAAAATTTTTGTCTGTGCATGATATATGTTGATTCTTCTTTTTAAAAATCATATTCCCAGACCTTCTTTTCAAACCATCTTGCCCTTCATGGTCAGACAGTGTGGTTTTCATTTTATCCCTCCTCGCTCATCTTTTCATTGCCTTCCTTCCCATCCCCTGTGCCCTCCCTATCTTCCCTTTCCTTTTCGTGAGTTTCTTCCTATTCCACAGTGTCTTCTGCACATTTTTCTCCTATATAAATATTCCCTTTCTCACATCAGAGAGGTAATGGCATATTTGCACATATGTGTCTAATTTGTACAACCGATCATTATGGTCTAAGTTTATCTACCAACAAATGTTTTAATTTTACCTTTCTTTATGGCTAAGTAATTTCCCATTTCTATAAAATTTAAAAACCACAATTTTTGCATCTATTTGTTGGTTGGGATACATTTGGGTTTCTTCCAAGATTTAGCTATGAGACACTCTGTTGGTGTCAACATGGCTGTCTATATCTCACTATTGTGTGATGCTTTTGATTCTTTTGGGACAATGCAGAAAATGGAAATAAACTCAATTAATTTAAAGTGACAGGAGAAATACATATGGTTGAGACATGTTGTAGTCAATGCCTAGAAGTAAGACAATGCAACACAGGATCCATTATTTGTACAGTTTTTGTATCAGTTACCAAAAGAGTCAACTAGAATGAATGCAGAGAATCTGTCCTCATACAAGAGCACCAAGCTGGAGAGATAGCGTAACAGTTTCCGCATTAGGCTCCACAGCAAGAGGTCGTAGGTTCAAGTCCTGGGTCTGCCTTTATTTGGCCATGACTCATCCATTTGTCTCATACTGACAAAGGTTCTACAATCTGAGGTACAGGATCTCATGATAAATCCTGAGGGGATTTCACTGACCTTATTAGACTCAAAAGCTACAACTCTTGTTGCATAGGTCCTGCTTTGCCTTGGTCTTAACCATCCAGGAGAAAAGTATAAAAATGAAATATAAGAAGTAAAGCCATGCTGTTATGTTGAGCTATAGGGGACTCAGGTCAACAATTTCTGACATTGCCAGTCAAGCGGAAGACCCAATACTATTATGGACTGCTGAACTCTTTTAGAATATTTTGCTGAGTTAACACACCTATAATATTCAAAGGATGGAACTAAATCAAAAAGGGATACACGTGAATGCCCATTTTGTATCTGTGTATTCAAAATGGTTAGGATAGATATATAGTTACATTCTCTTAATGAATAGAAGGATTTGTTCTAATAGTGTTTATAAATAGGATATCATGTCCACATCTTGTACAACCACTAGGAAGAATGTATGTAATGTGTTAATTATTGAATCTGTCCAAAAAAAAAAAAAAACAAAATAGAGTGCCAAAGAATCCACATGAGGGTCTGCTTCACATGGCAGTGGACAGCCATGAGTCCAACCAGAGCCCTAATGCCCATGACAATGTCCCTTGCAAGTTTGTTCCATGGAATTGCAATAGAAAAGCACAAAGCCATTGGTGGGATCTAGAAAGTTTTTGACTGTGGGATGAGACAGCTTTGTTATCAGGCTGAGGTGTCTGCACTTGATACAGGAAATGATACTCACTGTGAAAGACAGAGGTTCAATAAAATGTACCACAGTCACTCTCATTAAAGCAAGGTTCCAAGCTCCTCTGAAGCTGATAACAGCTGAACAGGTAACAGAAAAACGTTCTTGTCAATCAACTCTGAGAGGCTAAATAGTGCAATGCCTTTCCCTCGGGAGACAGGAACCAATTCCCAGAGTAAGAACTAGATCTCCCCCAATGTGGACCACAACCATTCTAAGTGACAAGAAGGACCCAACTTCTCTGACAATGAGAAGAGATGAGCTCATATCAAAAAAGACAACCTGGTTCCATCCTTTCCTAAAATAACCCTGTTTAGAAATGATAGATAAGCCAAGGTTCATCCTGTCAGTCATATACTTGCTCCATGCCCCAGTTCCCAATTGGGTGAACATTAGCAATGTGGACATACTTGTAAGCCTAAAGGTTCATTGGAGTTTGATCCATGTTGTACACTCATTGTGACTTTGCTATACACAATACCACTGATGATTGACGTGTCTGGTAACCCATTAATGTCCCCTGGTGTCATTCAGAACAACCTATGTCTCAATGAACTGTTCTTACTCTTAGCCTGATTTCTCCCTTGAATTTCATCCTTGCTCTCAGGTTGCACTGACGACCCATGTGTCATATCCAAAACATGGGCAGTTGTGCTTCTCTTCCTTCACTTGAGAGGTTCCACCATGATAACTGGAAGAAGGGAAGAATATGCTGTTTTTTCATGGCATTTCAAACTACTTTCTCTTGACTCTAGATTGTGAATTACTGAAGTAATTGAAGCTGTCACCTGTACTTTGCTGGTTGCTTTTGCCTTTCCAAAATTCTTTGAGTTGTGTTGAAAGTTGAGTGTTTGAAAACTTGTGATGGATTTCAATTTATCTTTTTGCGATAGGACATTTCTTATTTTTTGAGGCATGACCTCACATTGCTGTTTGCTTATAGCTGTATTGAGACTTACTTCTATGTTCCATTCTGGAGTTGCCACTATTCATTTCCAGATTTGTTTGTCCATCATCAGAAAGCTTCCAGTTCTCTTTTAGACAGCAAGGTGGAATTGCTGTTTTACTTTTTAATTGTGTTCCACTTTGTACAGGTATGTCTCGGGGTTCAGCCAGAGGCTATGAAACAGGTTGGGGAAGTTCCTCTCTGTTGGAGATGATTATTATAAGTGTGTCGAGAAGTGCTGGGGTGTTTCTCTGCAATCCTGAAAATCTTTTCTTCCCTTTCCAATTGGAATGTCCTGAACCAGCCAAAAGGTGTGCGCATCTCTAAGAGAGGCTAAGAGAGGCAACCTTTACAATCTTCATAACTGTGATCTGTGGGTTTGAGGGAGTCAGAATCCATGCTCATCCAGGAAGGCACACATGAGTGCTTGATCGAGCAGGTATCTGGTAAGAAAGTTCATGTGAGCCAGGGTGGAGAGAGACCCTCATCCAGCTGCTTTGATCATTCATCTACTTTTCAGCTTAGCAATGCAGTGTGAGTCAGTGGTAACTTTTGAATTTGAGGTCTGCTTTGCTAAAGATCAGAGACCCACCTTAGGAAAGCTTTTGGTCTTGTTCATTCTTCTGCCTTTCACATGACTCCATTCACTTCCTCAGCCTTGCTTAGACTCACTACTCTGTCCTTCTCCACTGCCCTGCCTCTAAGAAACAACACAATTGATCCCACCACTGCTGTGCCCATGGCAATTCTCTCCTCCAGTGCCTGGCTCCCATGAGCAAGTTTCCAGAACTCCGTGCTTCTCCTTCCTTGTGCCCCTCCCAAAGCTGCCTTCAGATATTCCTGGGTCATGCTCTAAAAAGTTTGTCTATGTCTGTTCCTCAAACATTTAAGGAAGAAATGTAAAATTTTGGTTGAGGTTATGAGCCTTTCACTTCTTAGGCAGAATTAGAGATTAACTCCCTCCACTTCTCTCTTCCTTCAGGGATGCTCCTGAATGGGGCCTCAGAGAGAGCTCAGCAGTCTAAGCATCTGGTGGAGCATGCATCCAATACCAGTACTGGGGAGGCTGAAACAGGACGATCATTACAAAACCAGGCTGTGTAGTGAGACCTTGTACCAAGTACATAAAATATAGAAAAAGATAATGCTACTCCTTGACACAAACTGACAGTTTTTTACAACACAGGGAAGTTCATTGATAGCATACAGAACATTTTCATACATCCTTCCATATTTGAACTGAAACAGGTTCTGGTGTATGGGTATAGTCTCTATCCCTAGGGGAGTTGCTCTTTCCTGACATCATTTCTCTCCAGAACCTCCTGATAGCCCCAATATCACTCAGGGAGAGATGCTAGCCAAGGCCCTGGAAAATGAAAGACTAGAAAGTAGTTTGATCCGTGGATCACAGATTTGCCAGGAAGGAGGCCCAGGCAAACAGAACAAGAGTCTAAGGCAGTTTTGGCCTCTTCCTTGCCCTTGCAGTTCACTTCTGCTGGCAGTAGATGATATTAGGTCTATAGGACTTAGATTGGCCAGATACAAAGGGATACACAGGGATACCTTTGTTCCCTTTGTTTCTTTTGAAAATTGCCAGAAATGACGATATATATCAGGGAACCCTGGAGTCTTAGCAGACCATCTTGGCCCCCTCTTGGTATATACACTCAGCTCAAAAGACAGTCCCCAACACTCGTCATACATCCTGCCAGCTTCAGCATTCCCTTGGAAATAAAGTAAGTGATACAAAGTCATATGTTCTATGTGTACAAGGTAGCTTATTTATGGCAAGCAAATAGACTTGGCCTTCAGCTGTAGGTATCAAAGAGTATTGCGTACTGAAACAGGAAACAGTCTCCCTAGCTGGTTCTTTCAGTCAGACAAATCATTAGCCCATGGTCCTTCTTCAAAGTCTTTGATTTCACAAATGGAAATGATTTCTTTCTGTCTTATACCAGTCCCTCTTAGTTTGGCCTGGCTTTTGGCAGCAGAAGCAGGTGAAGCTAGTGGTTCAGCAAATCTGGGACCCCAGAGAGTCAGCTAAGGATGGGTGTAGTCCTCTAGAGAACTGAACTACCACTAGTCTAGTAGTCCCATCTTCTAGACTAGAAGATTGACTAGGGAAAATCTGACATTCAGTAATGGTGGGCAAGGATGTGATTAAGACTATCATGTCCTAATAGCTCAGCAGATTAAAGTACCTGCTTCAGCAGACACAGGGTCCAGAAGTTCAATCCCCTGGCCTGCAGTGCCGGCCCTGCCCCGGAACATGGTTAGAAGGCCATTGAGACTGGACATGTTGGGGCATGCCTTTAATCTCAGAACTTGGGAAACTGCAAACAGGAGGATCACCACGAGTCCAATCCAAGCAGTGTGACCCTGTAGACCCTGTAGACCCTGTCCTAAAATA